GACAGCCAAACTTAGGAAGAGGGGAAGATATAAAGTTAATTCTTCAACCTCCCATAACCACTCTTCATTCTTCCTCCCAGAGGTAACCTCTATTGTTTCTTACATATCCTTCCAGAATTTTTCCATGCACATAAAAGCATATGACTGTCTCCTTTGAAAAACAACAAATGGAATCATACTATTCATATTGTACTTGCCTTTTCCATTGTATAAGTAACTTTGACATCTTCACACATCAGCACATAAATCTACCAAAATTTTTCATGATAGCTGAGTACTATTATATGAATGCACCACTTTCTACTCACCTATTAGGGATATTTAGGCTATTTTCTAGTTTTCTGAAGTTATATACAGTTACACTGAGCATTCTTGAATATCTTTGCCTAGAGGGGCTGGTGTACTTGTAGGATTAATGCCTAGCAATGAAATTGCTGGGTCTATTTTTTGATAGATATTTCCAAATTAGCATAAAATGTTAGATTAATTTATAATCCCATAAAAAGTATATGCAAAAAAATTGACAATTGTTTAGGTAGGTGATGGGTTCATCTTACTATTCAACCTACTTTGGGGTATATTTTTAAATTTCCATACTTAATGATATGGCAGTGGAGGAATTATTAAAATCGGGTATAAGGATGCCTGCTATTCTCTCTCTTATATATATATATTTTTTGCCATAGATTCCCTGCTATCTTTAAAATTGTGCTGAAATAATTCTGTAATAAGATAAAAAAAAACAGAAATAATAGCTAAAATATTGAAAAGCCAAGGAAAAACTGTCTTTTAAAAAAATGTATTTTTATTGATTTCAGAGAAGAAAGGAGAGGGAGACAGAGATAGAAACACCAATGATGAAAGAGAATCATTGATTGGTTACCTCCTGCATGCCCCCCACTGGGGACGGAGCCTGCAACCCCGGCATGTGACCTTGATGAGAATCGAACCCAGGACCCTTCAGTCCACAGGCCACACTCTATCCACTGAACTAAACAGCCTAGGGCAAAGCTGTCTTTATTTGCAGATCATATTTTTGCCTAAAAAACTCAAGAGACCTGATTAGAAAGCTATTATAAAATTATCTTAAAAATCAATAACTTTTCCAGCGACCCAATAATAACTTGTTGGGAAATAATGCATATTAAAATCTATTCACATATAAATAATATTGGCAAGAACTGGACGGGATTTATACAAAAATAAACCGAAAAAAAACAGGAGAACAAAAATATTTTTTTAACAGAGTTCAGCTTTTTATTGAATGTGTTACAAAAGAGGTTTAGTCAAAAAGAACAAAGCCCATGCAGCATCAGACTCCTCTTTCTTTGCTTCCACTTTCTTCTCCTCAGCTGGGGCACAGTGGTGGAGCGGGCAGGACTTTCTGCTGGTGCAGCACTGGCTGCTGGGGCAGGTCCACCAGCCTTACATTGCAGATGGGACTCCCCATGTTGACATTGGCCAGACCTTTTGCAAACAAGCCTGGACAGAAAGGTTCAGCATTTACACCAACTGCTTTAATGAGGGCATTGATCTTATTCTCCATCACCAGCACTTCATGGTCGTGCAGGATAAGGGCCAAGTAGACGCAGGCAACTCCGTGATGGGGGGAGTGGTGTGGGCTGAGTGAGCCCTGCCGCTGTGGAAGGAGAGCGGTGCTAGTCGCTGGACGAAGTGAGCCTCACCCCAGTTCGGCCTTAGCTTCCTTGGAAGGACCAAGCACCTTACTGGCAGGTGGGGAAAAGCCAAAAAAAAATTTAATAAATTGAAAAATCTGTTATGCTCTGAGATACATCTATCTTTTATTTGTGATTTTAACCAAAATTCCAGTGGGATTCTTTTTATGTTGAAAAACTAATTTCCGTTTGGAGGAAAAAACAGGAGAGAGAAGCTAGAATAGCTTTGTAACAGAAGAGTAATAACAGAGTTTCATTGTACCTGATATAATAAACCCACAATAATTACAATTATTTTGAATTTCTAAAAAAAGATTGATAGACTAATATTTCAGAATAGATATATTCAGAGATCAGGGCTTTGTGAGGAAAATGTAGTCAGAAAATGAAAAGAGAGTTGCAGGAAAACAAACACAAGTTTGAACTCTAATATTTAAATCCTGCTAAAGTCCAGTGACATTATGTGAAAGAAAATTCAACATACCAATAAATGAAGAAGCATCACCAATAAAGAGGATATGGATTATTCAATAACTAGTACTAGGAAAGCCAGGCAATCATTTGGGAGAGATAAAAAAAAAAAAGACAGATCAGATGCTCACTTTGTAGTATATACTGAAATACATTCCAGAAAGATTAAAGAGGCAAATGTGAAAATGAAACTGAAAGAACTGAAAGGAAATATAAATGAATATTTAAGTGATTCTTGGATGGGAAAGAACCACAAAACAATGGAAGAAATCACACAGGTATATCTCCATAAGCATATGTATGTCAAAAAATTATAAACAATATTGAATAAATTGCAAAGTAGATATTTGCATAAATATAATAAAATGTCAGTATTTGCACCAAGGTCCTTAAGAGTCTTTTCTTTTTTATATATATATATTTTATTGATTTTTTATAGAGAGGCTTTTCGAAGAAGAAATTCCAACACTTTTTAGGCAACAGCAACATTGTATTGTGGACATAAACTCAGAAGGAACCACTATGAAGAAGAGCATTCATTTGGAAGAATCATTTGTCCCCTTTTAGAATGCTAGGTTTTTGTTGTCTGTATGCTTTGTTTTGTTTGTTTCCACCTCATTTCATGTGTACAAGATGATATTTGTATTACAAGTTCCTTTTTCTCCAATTTCTTTTTCAAAAGCATCCCTAGAATATTGTGCTTTCCTGGATCCTCTGGAAGAGGTTCACTTGATTTAGCTCATTGTAAGCCCAGGGGTAGGTATTCTTACTATCCCCATTTTCTAGAGTAGAAAGTACATATTTTTGTGACTTTAAATACAAACTGGAATAGCAACATAATTTATCCAAAATAAAGTCATCACCAGAGGAAGCTATGAAGAGTAAACACAATATAGAGACAACCGTTAAAAGTACTGGTGTGGCTCAATGCACCGGTCACCGGTTTGACTTCAATCAGGGCACATGTTGGGGTTGTGGGCTCAATCCCCAGTAGGGAGCATGCAGAAAGCAGTCAATCAATTCCCATCGATGTTTCTCTCCCTCTCCCTCTCCCTTCCCCTCTCTATCTCTCTCCCTAAAGTCATCAAAAAACATTTATTTTTTTTAAGTACCTTCCAATCCTCAGCTAGGACTCTTACACCCCACTCCCATCCTTAGCTGTCACAGACCACACCTGAGGAATACAGCCTAGCTTTCTGAAATGGCCAAATGAGAACAGGTCCCAGAGGCTGGAGACACATGAGGCTGTGAGGAAGTTGGATAACCTCAATGGGATTGTGCTAGCAGCACTTATTGGGACTTACAATGGGGACTGTTCTAAGCGTGTTCTGACGTTATAATATGCATGAATGATCTCATGTAACCATCACGAAACAACCATCACCCAGGATTTAGGTGCTTTTATGACCTCTGTTTTCCACATTAGGAAACCAAAAAACAGAAAAGCTACATAGTTTGTTGAAGTTCAGACAGATAGGAAAATGCTAGAAGCTATATTTGAGCCAGATACTTGGAGCTGGAGCCCAAACTCCTTGGTCACATGTCACCATATACAAAGAAAGCCCTTTCATCCACAAGAGCACCTTTGACCTTCACAATTTTGTGAGGAGGTCAGGAAATATTCTCCCCAACTTACACTAAGGCAGTGGGAAGCCAAACATGGGTTATGGGAATTAGTAATTTTTTTAAATTTTTTATTTAGTGACCTGAAAGAAGCTGACAGCAGAGCATGGATGAACATGTGATAAGGAATGAATGGGGGGAAAACAAGGCTTAAAGGCTTGGGTCAGAGAAAGATGTGCCCTGAACTAAAGTGGATTAACCACAAGCGGCATGGAGGGGAAGAAAGCTGGAAACAGACAAGAAGGGGTTATCCTGAGCTTGGTGAGAATGAAAATTATTCCAGCTCAGGAGCCATCAGGTCTGTAATGAAGCTAGATGATAAGCTGTGAAAAACAACACATTCCCAGCATTCCCATCATGTTGAACTCAGAGGCTACCTTCCTGAAATATTAGCTCCTCATCCCTGTCATTGTTTATCTAAGAAGCATGTTGTTAAATTTATATCTCTGTTTATTTACCTGGCCTTTGTTAGTTTAGATAACAAGGCTAGAAATGTCTAAACCACCAAAATGAAGCTCCCATTCCTCAAAAGGATTTTCACCTAGTTTTTAAATACAATCAAGATAATAAAGTTTACACAAATACTTTTAGAATTTACTCCAGAAAAAAATATATATATTATCTACTTATTTTAAATGTTCTTAAAATCAGTATGCATCATCAACTGCAAGGGAAAATCTTTTATTACTATAAGTTACAGCATTAACCTCAAGTTTTATGTAATGGAATATCAGTATCATAAGATTTATCATAAGAACATTATCTCTTTAGGTATAAACATTTTAATATATTTCCATCTAAATCCTCTCTCAAAAGTGAGTAAATTCCATAACTAAGCCTTTCCTAACTTTAACTTCCCTTTCGTACTCTAAACATGCTTTCTTTCTTTCTATAATTTGTTGCCATCAAAATCCTTCAGTGACCTGTATTTGATCTCAAATAGTTAAAAAGAAAAAATCGGGGACCATTCAGATTGAAATATTTGGTTATGCCTCAGGGGAAAAAAATAAAAGTCACTCTTAATCCATGGTTCTAACAACACTGTTCTGATTTTATTATTATTATTATTATTATTGAGGGTGCTGGCATGAACGAAAAATAGAATGATTCATCCAATGAGAATTTGAATGCTGGTGGCAAACTGTACAGAAAATCCAGGTGAGTTAAAGGAGAAAGAGATCAGGGCTTTGTGAGGAAAATGTAGTCAGAAAATGAAGAGAGTTGCAGGAAAACAAACACAAGTTTGAACTCTAATATTTAAATCCTACTAAAGTCCAGTGACATATGACACCAAGACAAGAGAAGACCCAAGGGTGAAAAGTCTTCTAAGCTGACTATTAAGTAGATGTAACTCACTGATGAGTCTGCCCATATGGGATTTTAATTACTGAGACATCTGTTTATCGAAGTGTACTACTAAATAGCGATCAAATACAGAGATCAAATTACGTGGGGAAGAGAGTGGAGATGACATTCATGACTCAGAAAAGAAGAGCTATTGGCCAGGGGAAAATCAATCCTGGCTTTACATCTCACCAACAGAGAAGCAATTATTTTAGATGTGGAGCTGGTTAGCATCCTAGGCATGAATTTAATTAAATAACCCTCAAGTGGCAGAAACAGAGCAAACCACTGTATTTAACTGTCAGTAAGACATGTTGCAAATAAAAGTCTAAATTCCTCTTTTCCTTCCCTCCTCCCTCATAAATTTGGTATAGTTTTCTTAAACTCACAACTCTTCCTTTTCCTAGGTTAGCCTTTTCTTTCAATTAGCATCCAATAAATTCATCTAAATAGATAGCTTGAAGCAGAGGCAGGATTTGCTTTCCACATTCTCACAATGAGATACTTGGGAAGAGAAAGAAAAGGGGCAAGGATTAGTCACTGTTTGAGTTCCTTCCGTGGGCTCAATAAAAAGGCTAATAATTCAAAGAAATATCTTGAAATCAAAGAGAAGACCAGGTAGCCCTTTTATTGGTAGTTAGTTAGCACCTTGGAGGATAAAGAAAAGCTGAGGGAGGGAGATTCAAAACAAATGGTTGCGGCCAGAACTGTAGGGGAGATTTCCCAACCAGAGAAGAGGGCAAAGAAAACATTCAGCTTTTGAATGAATATTTAAAAAACAATCTTACCTACTCAGTGTGGCCCCTGGCAGCCCTCTGCTGAGCTCCAGTCGACAGTTGGCAGCCTCTGGTCCATACAGACTCTGTAGAAAGGTGATTGTTTTCAGAGCCTTCACCCCAGCTCTCCATTCAGCTTTCCTTCCTACACCTCACCACTTCCTCAGCGACCCCACCATTCTTCCTCTAAAATGCTTTCCTTCTTTTGCAAATAACAGAAACCAGTAGGGTAAAATTTAAGTAAAAGTGAAATTGCTGGAATGATACTCAGGTAGCTCATGAAACCCAAGAAAGTTGAACAACCAAACATTCCTCAGGGAGAACTGGACCATGGCAGTTCTCAGGACCTCAGAAGCTAAAATCCACTAATTCCTCTATTGAGCTGTCATTGACAACTTAGCTAGCAACTTCCGGTCACTGGCTCTCTGTTTAAAACCCAAAATTTCCAGGAAAACCTGATTCATTCTCTCTCTCTCTCTCTCTCTCTCTCTCTCTCTCCCTCCCACCCTCCCTCCCTCCCTCTCCCTCTCCCTTTCCTTTTCCTTTCCTTTCTCTCTCCCTCTTCCCCTCTCTTATTATATGTATTCAAGCTCATACTGTTTAATAAACTCTAAAAATCATCCTATAGTGTGAGTTCATTCCTTTGAACCTGGTTCTTTTTGCTACCATTTTAAAGTCCTAAGAACAGCTATTTCAGGTACTGCTAACTTGAGTTCAGTGGATGTGGCTGGCAGCACAGCTAGATTTCGATGCCAAGTGTGAACAAAGTGGCAGCAGTCTTGACAGAATAGAACTTGAAAAGAGCCCATTCTTGTTTGGTTGAGCTACATTTTCAAAATGTCCTGGCCAAAGTCCCCTCAAAGCGTGCCAACAAGCAGGCTGGTTTGTGGACCTCTGCAGCCTCATTCATTCATTCAATCACTACTTATTGATCGTAGGCTGAGTGCCAGGCAACAGTGCTAAGTGATGTACTGAATACAAAGATGCATGGCTCCTGCCCTCATGGGGCTTAAACCCAGACCTGTTATCTCTTGTGTGAGCAACAATGCAAGAGCTCCCTCCCCCACCCTCTTGGAATGAGAAGCCCAAGGATTAGGTCTGAGTTGTGAGGCAATCTCATTGTTAATGAGGTTAACATTTCACTCCTTATATTTAGAGAATTAGGTGAAAACTGAGATTTGCTTCACAATTAACCACAGCCAGGTGTCACTTATTTTTATGATGTGACTTGGAGAGTATGATGCTGGGGGGGTATGGAATTAATTTTTGAAAAATAACTCATATTTTCTTCCCCATCTGAACCAAATAGATAACTGAGTGCAAGTTAAAAATTTAAAATTCTAGCCAATTTTGCTAACCTCAGGTGAGAGCACACTTTGGAAGACATTTATGTGCTAAACTGCTGGGGGAAAGTCAGGCGCTTCTAATTAGCAAGAGCTGCTAAGGCCACAGAGAGTCTACCCAGGGCTATATGTGCAAAGTGTCTGGCACTTCGGTTTGGGTTTAGATCTGAGAAAACCTGATGTTATGGCTTGGTTTGATTCCAATTTGGACTAGTTGCCTAAGAGTTTTTACTTTTTTTTAGTTCAACTTAAGGTGTTAATTTTAAGGTTTAGCAAATTATTAAGGTTCATTCTAGTTGTGGGTCGAGGATTTAACTCAGTTTATATCTGTGGTGAGGCTATAAAAGTTCTGACTAGAAAATAGCAGCAGCTGGAGGATGGGCGCCTTGGCCCTGGGCTTGAAGAGGAGATACGCATACGTGGAGCATCAGAGTATCTGTTATAGTTCAGTCCTTGTGATGCTCAGATCCACTTGCTTCTTACAGTAAGTCCTGCCACCTAGTCACCAGCAACCCCGGGACTCTGGTTGGTCTTTATTGCTGAGGAAACAAAAGAAAGTTAGTGGGAAAACTACAGTTGCTGCAGCTACAGTGGATCTCAAGCTTGAAGTAATTGGTACTTTGTGCCCTTCTCCACCACCAATTGTAGATTTGCCTCAGTCTCAGCTAGCAACCCCTCTGGTCTAGGCAGATCACACATAGTTGTAAACACCAGCACAATAGTGGCAGGATGACATGGGGATCTGGGCCATCAGCTGATGCAACTTTATTGTGTCCATTGGCCCTACTCATGGCCAGTCTTGTATCTGTCAACATCCATTTTGTGATGGATTGCTGCTGGGCCCACCCAACTTAGGACTTGCTGGATCTGACAGAACCCAGCTCTTGATGGTTATCTCTGGCTGCAAAGTTATTTTATGTCCCACAGTCAGATACTCCATCTCAACCAAGGACTATTAGTCTGTAAGAACATCTCTTTGAATGGTGTATAGATCTTTACTAGATATGGTATGACCTTGCTATGGTTCTACGAGGGCCGTGGTTGGCAAACTGCGGCTCGCAAGCCACATGTGTCTCTTTGGCCCATTCAGTGTGGCTCTTCCACAAGTGCGCCCGCACGTGGTATTTTGTGGAAGAGCCACACTCAAGGGGCCAAAGAGTCGCATGTGGCTCGCGAGCCGTGGTTTGCCGACCACAGTCCTAGTGGATTACTCTGCATTGGAATTTTTTTAAAATGCTTCATTAACTTTAACTAGTAGATGAATATAATTGAGCTAACAGTTTGGTCTGATCATCAGGCAAATGAGACATTGAGACCTCACAAAAGAGTGCAGTGTGGAGACTAGAACTAGTTGTATCTTCTCTTCAAACTAGTCACCTCGAGCAGCAGAGGACAATCTAAGAGCTTTCACGGCTGCTTGGAATTTTTTTAAAATGCTTCATTAACTTTAACTAGTAGATGAATATAATTGAGCTAACAGTTTGGTCTGATCATCAGGCAAATGAGACATTGAGACCTCACAAAAGAGTGCAGTGTGGAGACTAGAACTAGTTGTATCTTCTCTTCAAACTAGTCACCTCGAGCAGCAGAGGACAATCTAAGAGCTTTCACGGCTGCTCCACACACCATTAGAGGGGTGATAAAATTCCAAGGTATCTGCAGTTACATGGTACCCAGGAAGCTGCAGGCAGGATGTCAGCACATAAATTCTCAACCTGGGACAACAGTACATACAGCATGGTGCTATAGTGCTGCATAACCCAGGCAGTTGCAGTCTACAGTTCACATCTTCTTTACTTAGGAGGAAAATACCCACATTTAAGAAACTGCAACCCTATGTTGATCCCCAGCCCAGATATCTATAGTCTCATCATAAGACTTTATGTGGTTGTTTTGTTAGCTCTTCTGTCACTTAAAATCTTATAACCTACTTTAATTACTTAAAGATGAGAGTTATATTTGTATATGTAGTTATGACTTAACTGGAAGGTAGTTAACTTGCTTTGCTTTCAAGAACAACAAAGAACACACATTATAGTTTTAAATGATGGTTTAACAGGCATAAATGTAGAGATGTCAACAGTATTTTAGTTTGTTAACATACATTTCATGGCCACTATAATGTGTTTGGCACTAATTCCAAACATACCCAGGAGTTCACTAGACTTCCCACTTGGAGGAACTCCTTGCACTGCCAGCCCATGGACCAGAATGCCAGGCTCCATAGAAGCAGTTGAACAGACCTCCTCAAAGCCACCTTCTGGGTGGTGATCCCCTATTGTGATATCTGGCCATCTGTGCATTTTGCATTAGAGATGATGATGTCCGCATCCAGGGATTTAATGGTAAACAGGTCGATGGATATTTTGTTTGGAAATATCATCAACAATTGCTAAGACTTTATGCAGAGTAACTCCAATGACTGGCCTTATTGTAGACACTCTGGCTAATGACTTTGGCCTGTCAAATCTCAAAACTTTCTTGTGGGGTGTAAATAACCTCAGTTTTGGGTCCATTGATCTGAATGTAGTATATCCCGTTGTATTGGCCACCAGGAACACAGCATGCTCTGTCAGTCAGCATCACTTGATAGAAAATGGTGCAGTTGGGAACTGCTCAGAACATGACCAAATCCTCCAGGACCATCACTAATGGATAGCCCACAGTGGGATGCAATAATGTGGATGTTGGTATGAGTGATGGTTCCAACCCAGACCCGATCAAATGCTTAGGTTAAAAAGGCAACGAAAGTGCTAAACAATGGTCCCACCACAGATGGCATTCACCACGTTAACCATTTTTGCTCGGCAATAAAACATTTGATGAGGCATTC